TGGAAAGAATTTAGATAAACCAATAACAATTGTTTTTCATCTTTGACATTGAATTTCTATTACCTTTTTAATTGAACACAAAATCACTCGCATGACTTGTACGTAATCTTTATTATAACTATACAGTAGCTATATAGTAGTTACAGAAAGTACATAGAAGCTTATTTAAGTTACAGAATAGAATAGCTACATAGAAGCTCAAGGAAGTTACAGAATAGAATAGCCTACATAGAAGTTAATACTAAGCTATATAGAGTAGTTAGAAAATCCTTTATGATACCGGATGTAGAAATCTAACCAAAGATTTTTCAGTTTCTTTCAAAAAATGATTTACAACTATTATAAATTTATAATGAAATTTTTTTTATTAAAATTTATGTAAATAACGAAACAAAAAATAAAACAGCGGATTTCTACCTATCCTGTTTGTATATATGTATAAACTTTATTTAAAAAAAAAGATTTGATATTCTTTTTCACTCCAAGAATTAATGCGTATCTCTCTCTTTGTCTCCCGCGAAGAAGAGCCAAGTTCATTTCGCGGACGAAGTTGGCTCGCGGCTCAAGAAAGGAATGGGATTAGTGGAAATCCCACCAGGATAAAGGAAACGAGATTTCCCAGCATCGGCCTGGAATAATAGTCCTGCAAGACTGCTCAGTGCGGAATGGATTTCCTGATTTTGAAGAGAACTTTGAAAGATATGGATTCTGTTTAAAGACGCCCCCCTGAGGATGAATGAAATGGAAATGAAAATGCCACAGTTATTTGAAAGAAGTACTTGTAAGAAAAATAAGTTGGATTGGAGGAAATGCGAAAAATATGGAAAGGGGTATTGAAAGGTTACGTAAAAACGTAGTAGATTGTTGTGTTCATTACGCTAAATATTACAGCTCGCGCATGTGCTTCTGTAAGTCTATTTTAGCTTCCCATAAAGTTTGGCCCATCCATTCAGGGGCATTTACTTTATTCTTACTATTTTAGGAATCTTAAATTGTTGTTATATTTCATATTCATTCAATTGAAATACTTATTTCTAATAAGTAAAACTTATGGAGAGAATATGAAAGGGTGATGTTATTCCCAAAATGGAGGAGATTACCTAAAGGCCTTGCTAAAAGAATTGCTATTTAAAAATAATTTTCCGCAAAACAAATTAAAAATATGTTCATATGTGTTATTCAGCTTGAAAGAAAGCAAGGAAGAAACTTTCTTCCGAAGAAGCTGACGTCGCGGAACATCGCATCAAAATGCACGTCCAAAAAATATCACGACTACGGGGATTCTTTATCCTCTCAGTTCCGGTATTTGATGAGTCAGGATACTTCGTGCATATTAATCTTTTATACCGCTTTTTTTTTTCATGGATGTTTTAGGTGTTTTAATATTTTGTTATTTTTTCCTACGATCATCACTCACTCAACGAAAAAACATGTATTGATGGATGTTTCGTTTCCAATGAAGTGGTTACATAGAAAAAACACTGTAGGTGATAAATTATGATGAATATGTATTTTAGATGATGATGCTCTATTTGTGTGTGTGTGTGTGTTAAAGAGAGAGAGAGTGGAAATTTTGAATCGAATTTTGTTTAAAGTGCATGCAGGACATTTTCCCACGGCGAGTGTTTAGCGCTCTGGTGCTCGGTGCCACAGGTTTCAGATTCGAGTCCCGGCGGTGCCATGGATGTTTGTGGTGGTTCGGAATCCACTTTAAACACTAGTTCCCGGTCTAATAGGATCGTGGAGCGTTGTGGGGGATAGTGTGACTCGCGTCCAGCTACATCCTAGCAACACGTGCCTCCTGGATAGTGTTAAATGAATCACAATGGTGCAGCCCTTGCTGATGGCATTAAAAGTTGAACTGTATCTGTATTGCCAGCTGCATTACAAGAACATACAATGAGTAATTTAAATATATATATATATATATATATCACTTTTAAAATCGAAGGGAAAAAGAAACACGGAGAGGGATAATGTGACTGCAATAACGCCACAGAACTTATTTATTTTTAAATGAAATAAAAGAAATGTAGCAAGCGACTGAGTGAAAAATCCGCAGCCTAAATTTTTAAGCACTTTTACAAAAGAGGCTCAGTATTTAATTATCTATTTTGCTTATTAACTCAAAGGGCATGAGACCACCGTTATGTTTCAACATTTTACAATGAAGGAGCTAGTGGCCGCTATGCGGCCAAGGATCTCCGTAATAATCTACAATAAGAATAAGAGAGGCTCAATTGTCCCGTGCGTCCTTTAGCGTTCCCAGCTTCATTGATATCATTCCAGAAGAAATGTTGAAGTTATTAACGGAATGGACAATTAGGGCGAAAGTTCAATCCACTGGCGGCTTTGTTGTCGACACCGTTTCAAACAACGATCTATCTAGTCTTCAAAGTCGGACTACCTGATGGGAGTTTTCTGAATTTTTTTTCCGTACGACATGCAATTGCGGGATGAGACACGAAGGCAAGTCAGACTACTACCTGGTACTGATCCTGCTGCCTTGACCCTGTATTTCAACTTTAAGAAAAGCAAGGGGCCTGAATGGCCGAGTGGCTAGCGCTCTGGCGCTCGGTACCACAGGTTTCGGGTTCGAGTCCCGGCGTTGCCGTGGATGTTTGTTGGTGGTCCGAAATACATTTTAAGCCGTAGGTCCCGGTCTGTTTAGCCTAACATGTGCGCAAGATGACCGTAGAGCGACAAATCAAACCCTTAAGAAAAGCAACTTGTGCGAAATGAAGTCATCGTAACTCTCTACTACACAATCGACATGACTGATTTCTGAAATTAATCCGTTCAACTTCACTGCTCAGATGTCTTTGTGGAACGCAGCGCGAAATCCATTGCTACGAATTCCGAACCGAAAGAGAAAGCGATTCCAAGCTTTGTCTTAAAATCATCTCTTAATCTCTCCCGCCTTTTCATCTAATAGTTTGACTCAATGGAAACGCGACGCGGAATCAACACCCCCCCCCCCCATCCTAATGTCAGAGTGCATCAGATCGCCGAGGGATTCTTTTATGGCCCTCATTAAAGCGTCGCGCGAGCGCCGTCAATGTGAGTGATGGTGATGATCCGAGTTTTGTCACTCATTGTTGCTGAATAAAAGCTGACGGGAAATCACTATCGCGCGAATGAATGTTGGCATTGTATCGCTTGCTGAGAATGTTGAATAATCATTGGATGACACTATCCTGATGTCGGATGCATGCATCATTATGTCTTCCTCCACCAAACACGTGCGATGACTTCTTTTGTTGAATGTGTTTCTTCATGCAAAGGATTCAACTGCTGATTCTTTTAAACATCATCTTCATTTAAATTACTTCAGAAGTTAGATGGCCAATTCACGTCTTTTGAAACATAAATGCCAGAGGGTAATTGTTATTGCGTGTGTATTCTTCTTTATAAATAACCATGACGATTTTTAAAAAATAATAAAACAATTGCTAAACTCGGAGGAGATGACGCAGTGGCAAGTGGCGTACCAATTAAGGAGTAACCATGGGAATAGAACCCTTAACCCCCTCGTCATAATTCATGTATGAAATGTACGTCTTTTAATTGGCTGTTTAAGGTTAATTTGTGATAAAAAAATAAAGTTTCTAAACATCTAAAAAGTACAAAAAATAAATAAAAGCAAGATAAAAAATAAGAAGTTAAAATCAAAGTTAAGTAATGTAAATTAATAATTTTTACAATGAGGGACCAGTTGTCGATGTATGTCGATGTCGACGATCACCTTTTATAGTAAATGTTATATTTTAAATTTTATTGTCGACCTCTTTCCACGCTAAATCCATGAAACATTAAAAGCTCTCTTATCGGAAAGAGCCAATGCAACAACAACACGGATTAACCAGTCGCAAAAAAACTCTGGTTTTGGCAGCTTACTCTAAAATATCATCGGAATGTCTGGAAAACAGAGAGACAGTAAACAGTCATGTACTTCCGCTAGAAAAACACACAGATCTTCCACAAAGGAATCTCTAATCCTCCGATCACTCTTCTTTTATTTTTATCCCCTCCGTAATTTCTCGTCAAAAACAATCGTCCAGTTGAAAGGAGCCGCCGCTGCGATCATCCAGTGATCAGGGATCTATTTTTCGCCTCACATTTCCAAAAGCATCCACCCGCCTTGATCACCATGACAACCCATCCCTGTTGATCCTCCAACAACGTGCTCCCTTTTTTTTTTCATTAGACGTGAGCGAGTATCGGCACGGAGGCTGTTTCTTTTTGTGAAATAAATTAGCTCATAACGGGACTCGTGTGTTTTAGATAGAACGGGGGATTTTCTTAGAAGAATCTCGAGTTCCTTAATGCACAAATATCTGATCTTGCAAGATATTTTTGAACATCACTGTCAGACCAAAGCAAGCGCCAATACAAAACATTCACATTTCTAACGACAAGTAACGATTCCCATTCACATAAGTAACGATTTTGATTGACGACAATTTTTGAAATGGATCATTGTATAAATTTAAAAATGGAATCACATAGTCACGACATATACAAACATATAGCTCAAAGGAAAATAATAATTTTAGGAGCAACTGTTAGTCACAAAATCTTAATGCAGTAAGAAATATGATTAATGTTGCATAAAAGTTATTTTAAAAATCATAGTATACAATGAATGTATAGGTTTGATTTGGTGGGTCGTTTTACGGTCATTTTGTGCACACTTTAGGCTAATTAGACCGGAACCAACAGTTTAAAGTGGAAATCGAACCACTACTACTGCAACTACACTACACCACATCACTTTGCCTAGAGCTGAGTGTCCCCTTGGCAGTTTGGGAATGATGTGGGTGAGAAGTCTAATTGGGCTCTGTGACTCTTTTCAGTCTTACAGGACCTAAGGCTTACAGTGGATTCCGAACCCCTACAAACATCAATTAATCCGCCGGGATTCGAACACGAAACCTTGGTTACCGAATAACACCCACTCGGCCATCAGGCCCCAATTCCGAACCACTCACAAACATCCATGCCAATACCAGAATTCGAACCTGAAGCCTCTGGTATCAAAGACCAGAGCGCCAACCATTGGCCATCAGGCTGCCTTTAAATGTATGGTGTAAATATATATGTATGAATTAGCTCCAATTGGAATAAAGAGAAAGAACACAAAAAATAATAATTTCAACTGAAAAAAACCATCAGAAAAGTTTAAATACATTACAATGACAATAACCACGTATGGGCCTGAATGGCCGATTGTCTTGAACTCTGGCGCTCGTTGCTCAGGTTTCGGGTTAGAGTCCCATAGATGTTTGTGGCGGTTCAGAATTTCCCTTAAACCGTGGGTCCCGGTCTCATAGGAAGGCAGAGCGTTGTCTTGAGGTTGCGTCCGTCATCAACCCTCGTGCTTCCTCGCTAAAAGCGAAGCTGCATATCGCCCTTATCCAATTGATTCATGGACGTCGCCTGCGACTCGGTCTCTTGGACCTGGTGTAGGTTTTCCTGAACCAGGGTGATTAGCGACAACAAAACTACACGTGATTTGTGTATTTAGGATAAAATCCGTTAATCATTATTAACTTTTTAATCAATCAAAGCAACATTATATTCACGACCCTAAATCATTGCTAAATGATTAATAATTATTCTTATCTAGATAAATTTTTATATGTAATAAATAGTTAACGTATCAAAAACAAATTAGCCTATTTAATTTAAATCTACTACCATCTATTTAGTCCACGCGTCATCTATTATTTTAAAAAATGCTTTTTTTCACGCATAGCAAAGATGCCTTTTTTTCCCCATACCCTAAATACAAAAATGAAACAGTTGTCTCACATAAAACAGGATGCATTTTGAGCACTAACCGAACCCTCTACAACTTTTTCTGCACGCATCAGAAAGCGCTCATGTTAGCGGCCCGCGGATTAAGCCGTCCACGAAGCCATTTCACCAAATATCTGCACACAACAGAGAGGGGGAACAACAAACAGTCAAACTTTTTAGCAGCGACACTTTCAAATTCACGGCTTATTATTATTATTATTTTTTTTTTTTTTTTTGCTAATGCTGTTTTTCCTTTGAGTAATGGCTTCCTTGAAGAGCAACTCTTCTGCACTACATCCCATCGGACAGCACTGTAAATGTCCAATCATATGCCGTATATTTTACCCAAGTGCCGACTTCCCTAACGTCTCCATGGCAACCCATCCCTGCTCCTCTCTCAACAAACACGTTTCTTCTTTTTCAGACATGAGTGACGATCGGCACAGACCCTACCAGAATTTAAGAGTCTGGTTTTACTTTTTTTTTTTTTTATTCATACATAAAGTATACAAAGGAATTCACATTCGTACTTCAAACTCGATGATTTTCCCATGAATTATACATGAATGCAGTGACTGGCCACTGGGATATATCACCTAACCTCCTCATCTTAATTCATATATAAAATTTAAGATTTCTAAATGGCTGCTTAAGGTCAGTAAATGGTAAAAAAATAAAGTCTTTAAATTGTTGTTTAAAATATATTTTCCAATTCCTTAACATTTTGTTGAAGCACGGAATTATTCTGCTTACTTTTATGAAGGAAATCTGTGCGGTTTTTTTTTATTTATAAAATTTTTACTAGTATCAATAAGAACAGATCCGTTGCGAATTAGCCAAATCAATGATTCAACACTATCACGGGCCTGAATGGCCGAGTGGCTAGCGCTCTGGCACTCGGTACCACAGGTTTCGGGTTCGAGTCCCGGCGGAGCAATGGATGTTTGGAGTGGTTCTGAATCCACTTTAAACCGTAAGTCCCGGTCTAATAGGATCGTAGAGCGTTACGGAGACATTGTTACTCCGCGTCCGTGCTTATCTTCAAGTTACACGCGCCCCCTAGGTAATGAAAAGTGAGTAACGCCTGTGCAGCGCTTGCCTTAAGGCCTCCAAGACCAAGCTGTCTAAGTGTTTTCCAGCTGCATTAGAAAGAAAAACACTATCATTCAATATATTATTAAATTACAAGAAATAATAAAGGATTTCATGAAATCAATTAAAAGTTACATGAAAGCAATACTGAAGAAAATATTAATTTTGAAATAATGAAACTATTTTGAAGCCATCGCATGTGTTAGAATTCCAGCAATACAAATGAGATTTTTTTAATAATTTTTAATATAAATTTTTAAATTACGAATCGTATAA